GCCGTGAGTGGGCCTTGGAGCGCCGGTCTGGTCCACCAGCCAGTGCGATGTTCCCCAGGCAGCCTCAGAGTCGTCCTTTGTGGCAAGAGCCAGCAATCCTTATTAGGGTCAGGATTTCAGAGTCTTCCCCTGCCAACAGCAGTCCCCACCCTACCCCACTGTCGTCCCTTTCCCTTGATTAACTGAGACCGGGATGACCTTGACCTCGATTCCTGAAGGTAACAAACTTGATATTATCCCCTCCCCGCAGCTCTCCATCTATTCCATGGACCCATGCACCGCCCCCAAGGAAGAGCAAAGAATTTGTAACAACGTACGTGCGCCCTTCAGGTAAAGCATAGCTTGAGGAGTCCAGTTCCTTCTCTCCAAGAGTCTCTACAACCCGAAAAGAGAAAAGCAGTTAATAAGACATTGCTGCGCAGCCCTCTATTAGAAAAACAAAAAGAAAGGAAGGAAAGGAGGGTGAAGAAACGGAGAAAAGAAAAATAGGAGAGGAAGGGGAAAAAAGAGAAAAGAAGAAGGAAAGAACATTCAGGAGCTTGATTTTCTTTCTATCTTTCTTTTGCGTTTGCTTACCTGTGGGGCACTGCTGGAATTTCCCATGAGAGAAAACACCAGGAAAAGAGCCAGGGTTGTTGCCGCCAGACTTCTGAGTCCCTACAAGAAACCACCAATCAAAGAAAGTCATTGATGTGCCTGTAGGATCTTCTGCTTTCTTTCTTGATGCGCGGACAGTTACCAACCCCTTACTTTTTGCTGTGTTCTCTTTTAATACTCAGAATGGGGGCAGGGGTCCCCAGTCTGCCTTTTAATCCATGAGAGTTCTCTTTTAAAAAAATTATATATTTTCATTATTTAATCCAAATGACAAATGTGTGAATAAGTGAATTTTTTTCTTAGTAATATCAAATGAGTAATATATTAAGGAGTATTATTTAAATATCCTCTAAAATGCTTATTAAGTATACAAAAATAGGTAAACAGCTCTGAAGCGTTTTACAAAATAGTTTAAAAGTTAAGTAAGTAAAACCATTACTTGCCTTCATGCTCTGCTCCTTTCCAGAACCCGCGATAACTATAACTTTACCTGTGAGTTTTCCAAGCTTGTTCTGAAGGGGAGGCTTTTAAAGCCTTAGCATCAAGGGCCCCTCCTTGAGGCTTCAGGAGAGTTAGGGAGTCCCTGGGGACTTCATGTCAGTCGTCCAGAGTGAGAGGATCTGATGACTCCTCCAGGAAGGTTCAATTGCAGGAAGTAGAGAAATGATTGATGGGCGGACACCGTGCGTTCAGGTACTGACCACACCAACTGGGAGATATTCTGAAAATACCAGCCTAATTGTCCGTTTTTCCCACTAACTTCCCAGCGTAGCATCATCATCATCATGGTCATCATCATCATCATCTTCTTCTTTATCATCATCATCACCAAAGAAAATGATTAAGTTTTGGCACAAGCAACATTAAATGAATAAAGTAAGGAAACTTGTTTGGGTAACTAGCTACAAGCTATCACTGATGACGAATGATGAATCATTTCGGCAGAAATGAAAAGGTTAGGGAATCTCAATGGAATTTGACATCGGTTATTCATTTTCTCGAATGCCTGCGATGCATTAGACATTCCTCCTTTTAATTCAAGGGACACAGCCAGGCATCAAAGAGACACAGTCTCTGCTTTAATCAAGCTTACCTTCTAGTCAGGGGAGAAACACTCTAAACTAGTAAACAGGTAAACAAGGTAATTACAGGATGTTTTAAATGCATTATGAAGTAAAAGTAAGCAACATGATGAGGTAAAGTAAGTGGTAGGTAGGTAAAAATAGAGGGAGGGGTCTGGAAGGTTAAGGTGGAATCAGAGATGGGATAAGTTGGAGTGAGAATTAGTATTATATGCATAAGAAAGTAAAGCAAAATCTTGGGATGGGAAAGAACTAGGCTTATTTGAGGAATATGAAGGAAACCAATGGAGTGAAAGTTGTGTGGGTAATGGCACGGCACTTTGAAATGAGATTGGAGAGGAAGAAATGGGCCAGTTCATTTGGGAACATGGTTATAAGCAAGGGATGATGATGGTTTAGGCTCGGATGGTACTTGCAGGGAATGAAGAGCTGTACATGAATTTGGGGTGCAGGTTGGAGGTAGAAAATAGAGCTTGGTGGGATATGAGAGTATGACAAAAATAAATCAAGGATGATTCTTAGGTTTTTGGCTTAAACACTGGGTGAATGATGAAACCATATATTGAAGCTAGAGAAACTTCTTAAGGAAGCAGTTCAGAGAGGGAACTTAAGAGCTGTCTTTTGGGCATATTAAAATTAAAACGTATGTTAGACATCCAAGTAGAAGGGGGAAGTAGGCAACTGGAAATGCAAAACTCTATAAGAGTTCAGCAAAGAGATCATCAACCTATCGATATTTTTCTGAAGGCAGGAATTATCAGATTTCAGAATTTTAAGAATTCTATGAATTTTAAGGCAGGAAAAAGATTGGGATTGAATGATAACACTTAGGGAGTGAATGAAGTTAAAGAAGAGAGGCAGAGATAGAGCTATGAAAATAAATATGCAGAGAATGAGCAGAGGGAGAGTCAGTAAGGAAGTTGAGGTGAAGCAATCAGAAAGAAAGGAGAAATTCCAGGAGACAAGGAATCCAGAAAACTATCCATTGTGTTGAAAGGTCAAACTAGATGAGAGCTGAGAAGTGTATACTGGATTTGTTTTTGAGGACATAAACTAGATTGGACTGGGATGGAAGTGAATAAGATATGAGGACATAAAGACAAGCTTGGACAACTTCTTTCAGGAATTTCACTAAAAGGGGGAAAGGAAAAATGAATCTCTTTAAAAGATGAGATACTTGAGTGTGGTGGAAGTGTTATTTTTGGGGGGCTCAGTAATATCTGAACCCTTTCACTTTTAGGGAATTCCTAAAATTTTCTAAATGATGAATTATAGAATTGGGACTCTTGGTGGGAAGCAGAGACTTTTTTTTTTTTTTCTATTGTAGAAGCTGAAAGTGCCAGATCCTCACTTTCCCAGCCTCCCTATCAGGTAGGATGTGGGCACATGATTCAGGCTTCACCAATCAGATATACTCACCTAGATGAGCAATCTGGAGATAGAATGAAAGCAAGTGAGGTCATGAGAAACACTGTTACAGTGGGGTTGTAGTAAGCTTGAATTGGTGGGGGAAATACTGCCTACAACACTAATAGCAGATTCCAAGATGGTGTTACCACCTGTAGGGTCTTTATAATGAAGTCCTCTTGCTCAAATCAGTCCAGTTTGTTGGTTTTTCTGATGACAACTAAGAGACCATCTGCGGGACATGTATGCTGATGGAGATGATCAGTGGAAAGGATACATGGATGATGCAGAAGAGATCTGCAAAAAGGAATGCATAGAAGGCAAGAGGATAGGATCCAAAGTATGTCAATATGCAGTTGAAAGTTACATATATACACAGATATTGAGCAAGGACCTGAGTGCCCACCTATGCTAAGATACAGTGGATAAGAGAGATGATCCCTTTCTTCTAAAAATTATACCAGTTGTCCTCAGGTATTAATAAACCACCTGGGAGTTTTGCTAAAATGCAGATTCTGATTTAGTATGGGTGTGGCGGGGCCTGAAATTCTGCTTTTCTAATAAACTTCCAGGGGATGCTGATATCTGCTGCTTTACTGATCATTGGACATTTTGAGTAGTAAAGCTTTAGAGGCTATGAGAAGTGATAAAAGGTAAATGTTAGAGTCTGTGTGGCTGGGAAAATGGCTAGCAGTAGAAATATTGGAACATGGGGAGAGAACAGATGAGTTTGGTTGGGGCTTGAAGTTTGAGGGGCTGATGCTACCTGCAAATCTTTGTTGTTAATACAAAGATTTGTTGTTAATACTTGTTATTTAGACTTCATGGTTATGTGCATACAAGAAAACTGGAGCTTGGTTAGTAAATGTGAATGGAATAAAGAAAGTAGAAACTTGAGGAATATTTACTCGCTTTAAAGAATCAACAAGAAAGAGTCAAAGCTTGTAATGTTTTCCACTGCCTTAAGAGAGGGGAAAGATTTAAAAAAATTAAAGACTAAAAGGTTAACACCCAAACTGGACAAAATATTAATATTTCTTTAAATATTAGGATTTAATTTCAAGGGATTGTAGCAACTTCCAAAAAAAGAACAATAAACTAAATAGAAGTATGCATGTGTTTATGATTTAAATGAACTCTTAAATGAAACCCAATTACTAGGTTACCTAACAAACAAGTAAAATGCCCTTTTCCTCTCTCCACACCAAAGACACACAAAGGTTTAATAAAGAGGAACAGGAAAATGAGTTGCCACTAAAACTGTGTTTTGAATTTCCAATTTTAAAGGAAAGTAAATGAATGCAGTTTGTTTATAACAGTTTAGCTAATGAGTTCACAGGCAGATGTTTGACGTCAATGCTGCCATTTTCGGGATAATATGCACAAGTGAAGAGAATAGCTTTGACAGATTATCAATATTGTAGTCTTATCAAAAGTAGCATGCCAGAATGTGTTTGTTCTAAAAGGGCATTGACTGCCAATAAGATGTTTTTGTTAAATCACAAAATTTTAAGATTTTTACAGGTCTAAACCTAGAGATGGGCTAAGAAATTTGATTTAAAAAAAAAAAAGTTGATGGATTTAACCACTCAGTTTTATTATGCTGACATTTATTCTGCTGACCAGGCAGTGGGCATTTGAACAAATTGGATCCTAAGCCTTTTGAATAGGCATATTCAATGGAGACCATTTTGCCTGCATAGCTGATGTTATCTGAATTTTTCTAGTTGACTCGAGGATGCTCAGGCCCCATTTTAACAATAACTGTTGTTGAAACTGCATTCTTACAAGGTCAGTGGTTATTGTGTTCACATAGAAAACAGCCGCTATCTTGGGTTAGGTTACCTGGGCAATATGGCTATTATAATACGAACATATCCAAATTACTTCTTTGATGAAAGGAATAGAGAGGAATTTGAAATAGTATGAATGCCATCATTGGGTTTGAGCTCCTCCTTTGGCCTGATTCTGTGCCAAGGTCAGTTTGTCCCACAGGCCAGTTGTTTCACAAACAGGTGAAAGCAGTCATTTTCCCAAAGGGCTACCAGTTTTAGGCGGGGCTTTAGGGACACTGAGGCAGCCTGCTATCCTATATAATAAAAGGGTAATATGCAAATTGACCCTAACAGCAGAAAGACTGGGAATGACTGGTCACTATGACACACAATGACCACCAGGGGGCAGATGCTCAATGCAGGAGCTGCCCTCTGGTGGTCAGTG